TACACATCCACGCTTATTTGTATTTGCAATCTCCGTATTTCTTGTACCAATATGTCAAAACTATAATTCTGTATTTTACTTTACGCTTGTTTTTATTTTGCTTACATTACATTGTATATATTTGTAAATAATTTCGTCTTTATTATTATTATGTTGGATTTTGTGAGTTATACTCGGTTCACACCGGTATCTGTGTACTATGCCGGACCAGAGTCAAGGCATAGCAACCAAAACAAAACTAAAATTAAATAAGTGTGTCAGTGTGTGTGTCTGTATTCAGGAATTTTCTAACAATGTGGCATGTATTCAATATAGTGGCCTTCTGTAGTGTGATGTATGTATTTCTACTCAATTGTAATGTTCCCAGGCTTTTGTGTAGTGTGTGTGGTATCACACCTGTACAGGAGAGAACAACAGGTACAATAACTACCCTATCCATCCTCCACAGATGCCTTATTTCCTGGGCAAGTTCTGTGTACTTGCTAATTTTTTCAGTGCATGTGTTTTGTACATTGTGAGTGTTTGGAATGGCTATGTCTATAATGTATGTGATTTTATTGTGTTTGTCAATGAGTGTGATGTCTGGTCTGTTGTGGTAAATTGTTTTATCTGTGATTATGGCTCTGTCGTAATACATTTTGTGCGTGTTATTTTCCAATACTGTCTGTGGAATATACTTGTAGTATGGTTCGTGGATGTCTGCCAATTTGTGTTTCTTTATAATTTGTGTTTGTTTGCAAGCTCTTGGTGCATTATATGTCTGTGTAAATAATCTCTGTGCCAAGAGCTTGCACCCAGAAGTAATGTGTTGTATAGTTTCTGGCATGATGTGACATTTTCTGCATGTGTCATTTGTTAGTGTTGTATCTTTGAGTATGTGTTTTCTGTAGTTTTTAGTATTTATGACCTGATCCTGTATGGCAATCATGAATCCTTCTGTCTCCCCAAAGAGGCATCCCCGATCTAACCAGCTGTTTGACGCAGTTTTGTCAACAAAATCCTGGGCCAGATCATAAGGATGCCTGCCATGGAGTGCCTTTTGAGCCCACGATTGCTTAATGGTGTCTATGCTTTTTATATGTTGTCATGTTCATATGTTGTGAGTGTAAGTTTAATGGTGTGTTATTTGAGTCTGCTAGAGTTACAGCTTTATGTAACTGTGATGTTTCTTGTTTCTTGTAGAAAAACTCTCGCAGTGACATTATTATTATTATTTTTTTTTTTTAAATTTATATCATCTCACTCATATTATGTATTCATGTACTTCTATGTATCTAGTACCATGTCTAACTGGGTTATACATTTGTAGCATCCAGTATTTACTGTACTCCAGTAAGTTACAATAAAATATCTATCTATCTATACTAATGACATTCTTTTCATAATACAAGTAGAGAAGCTCTTATTCTTCATATACCTAATAATGTCAAGCACTGTACAAAATTAGATACACACTAAAATTATTAGGTGAGTATTTCAATCAGAGAAGCAAGACTTGAAAATGGTTTCAATTTATAGAAATACAAAATGCATTTATACTTATGAGAATTATGTCAGAACAGTAATGAAATTTGACTTATTGAGAGTCAACTGTAATCCAAAAAATTTAATTAATATCAAACTTTAATTTTGATGGTAGTAAAATGAATAAGTTATAAGGCAAACATATTTATGCTAATCTTTAATTAGCATAAATATGTTTGCCTTATAACTTAAATATTCATAATATGCAAAATTATTTTTGTTGTAAAATACATTAAAGAAATTTTTAAACTGATTTTAAAAATTAGTGATTACTTTTTTCAATGTTGGATAATTAATAAGTTATAATTTCACTGTATAAAAGGTTTAGCAAAATTAAGCTGTAACTTTTTAGTTTTGATAATTACACTAACTCTATGAATTAAGACTTGATGGGTGTTTGTATCAATATGTAATTCTTCATAATTTGCTAGGCACATTTTAGAAATGTTACCCATATTTTCCTATCACACCAGATTTTCTCACACTTGATTAAGGTAAAATTATTTATCACTGTAAAATAGCATATATTTATTTTAGATATCAGGATATTAAATAAGAATGCACTGAAACTATAGGATAATATTAAAACAAGATTTTAAGTTTAATTAATTTTGTCAGTCTTCATTAGTGGATGGGATTTGTTCAAGCAAATGCAGAAAATACATAGATTCAGTGCTGATGAGACCACCTATGAATATGAAGAAGAATTAACAAGTTCTACTGTGATACACTGGAAATTTCTTGACTTCCCAATTATTCCATCTGCTGCTGTCGGTTTTTGTTGAATATTTTCTTTTTAACTTACAAGACCATTTTATGGATTTATTATCTCTCTCCTGTTTTGTTTTTTCCTTTGTTTAATATACCAGCAATAGCTAATTGTATTCACATTTCTGTAGCTTTAGTATTTGTATTTCATTTATTTTATATCTTGGTTAAATCTTTTATTCTTCTTTCATTATAGGAATTTCATGGGAATGCAACAAATTTTTTCCATTCTCATTTTTAAACCTCTATGACACTAGATGCAATGTCATAGTTTGTCTTTGTTTTCCGGATTCATACAAATGTAAGATTCTGGCCAGAATAGAGGGTCTTGAAATTACTCTCTATCACTTAATTGGCTTCTAGTCTGTTGGACTAGCCCTCTCATCAAAGGATGGCTTTTCTATGAGTATTAAAAAGATGCAGAGACTAGACGATTTTAAAATCTCTCTTCTACGTCAGGATCCCAACACCAGTTAATCAATTTATTGCGGATTAACACGCATAGCTATAATAGATGATAATATTTATATAGAATCTAATCAAATAGGAGGACCTTTCTATATGAGTGGAGACTGATTAACTATACCTCAATAAAAACATTATTTAATAAAAGTCAAATGGAACAAATTTACAATGAAAATAAAACATACTGAGAGATCAATTATATGCTAATCTAATCTATGCGTGGGGGAGTGAGTTTACATAACTCTAACATATACTACCTCAATTCATGTAGTATTCATAGTTGTAACCTTCTATTGGGAGCTTTGGAGATAGATGATGTGAATCAGGAGATTTAATCTTCTATGCGCTTAATATACATTGTTTCTATGTCTTCTATATGGCATCTTTAATATTATGGGATATGATCCTTAATTACATGCGGCAACCTTATTATGGAGATTCACACTTATGTGACCAGTTCGGATGGCAGGTTCTGCTTCTGACACACTGCACGAAAGGTGGGAAATCTACCCCTTTTTTATAGGGACAACTGAGTGTCTGACTCATCATCATAGGACATTGAGTTAAACTTTAGTCAGTCTAGAAAGGAAGTTCATTTCCTCTCTTTTCAACATCATTTTTGTTAAAATTTTTATCAAAGAAATAAAATATTTTGAATTAATATTTTATAGCAATTAATCCAATTATTTGCGGATCTTGCACAAAATAACAGAATTTGTTTAAAAAAACACATATGTGACTGCAGGGTCAGTATCTCATTGGCATCCTGTCAGGATGGACACCACAGTGTCGGTCAAACATGGAAATTTAGATGACCATTAAGTCAGTCATCTAAGTGGTCGCATTTGTGGAAGCTAAGGGATCAGTTGCATAGATCGGAATGGAGACAAGGGGTGATACCTGGAAGAAGTGCACTCCACAAGATTATTCATATAACAAATACCTGTTTATTCAGGAAGATGATTTACATCATTAATTATTAGATGCTTATTACTAAGGAGTTCAAAGGAATCTTAGCAGCTCGAGAGAGAGAGTTTACAAAACATTTGCGCGTCGACAAATACCTGTAGTCCAAATAGGTCTTCTGTAGGAATTTTCGTTGAGATGCTTCTGAAGGGTTAAAGTCAGGTAATCCAAATATAAATCCAGTTCAGGTGATAATCCAGATTGTGTCCAGAGGCTAATCCAGATTGAGTTCGGGAACAGTGACAATGGGATGCACACACATACACCAAAGAGGTCGTGACGAATGATGAAAAAACCTTGAGCATCATCGTCCCCTTTATTTTTTATACAGGGGTCTCTTCTGGGTTTTTCCCAGTAACTTGCTCAGAGCTTTAGTATTTTGGGTCCAATCAATGAGTTTCACCCATTGAGTCAACGTGACACATTGAATGTGTCACTTTGAAATAAAGGAACTAAGTCCATGGAAAACAGTTTATCGCCATGTTATTCAGTGATTTTTTTGAAAGGAATAACTGTCTTAGTGTAAACAATGAAAACTTTATAAGCATTTATAATAAAGGGTTTCTTAAATTTTCCCTGATAACAAGTTTGGTTCTCACACATATCAGCAACTTTATTTTATTATATAACATTCTTATGACATTTTTAATGATAGTAAGTTGTAGAAAGCATCATATAATAATGTAGCTTTATATGAATATACATGTTTTCTGTAATTCAAAACCAGGATATTCTAGATTAGATTGATTGAAACTAGTTTGAACTGGATCATATTGATTTATATCATATGGGTAATAAACTATTGCCAAAAACAATCTAAAAATTTTTTTTATCTGCTTCAAAAATGGATGGAATAATTTGAAATATTTAACTATTGTGGAAAAATTGCACATGATGGAAAAATAGACATCATTTTTAAGTTCAGCATTACTAAATTAGCAAAGAACAGCCATAACTTTGTAATTTCAGAAATCATATAGATCTGTGTTATCTGTTAATTTTTTAACAATTGAGTATGTTTAATATATAATGTTAATATTTAAATACAGATTTGATAGCTTGATAATCTATTTTGATAATTTGCTATTAGTAATCACATTGCTTAATTTTAATGAGAAAATTTATGTATAAAGTGCAATTTTGACTTATTGTGTGTGGGTGTGGTGTGGTATGGTGTGTAAGAGCATAATTATTTTTTTATATTCAGAATTTTGAGACTTAATTCTGAGTAATGAAATTTGAATGTTTAGAATAATTATTTTTATTTTATGTTTCAGAGAAAGCTACGAGTCATTTACAGCTAGAACCTGATTGGAACGCAATATTACAAATTTGTGACTCTATTCGTCAAGGAGATGTACAGTAAGTTTTTCATAGTTTTGAAAATATGTTGAATAGATAAACTAAAAATATATTTTCATACAATGATGATATTTATTATTCAAAAAATGGGCAAATTTTAAAAATTTTCTTTAGTTGCTAATGTATATTGAAGTTGACAGTATTTTGGTGATAGACTATTCCTGAGTCAGCAGTAGGATATCGTGTGATTTAAAATGAAGAAATTACTAATATTTTCATATAAATACTAAATTTAACACCAAAATAGCTAATAACATAAAAGCTTATATTATATTTCATAGGGATTTGCTTTAACATGTGTTAATGCTAAAATTATTGAAGTTCTTAAAGTTTTATTATAAGTAAAGGCATACTTTTTTGCATTCTAAATTATAAAATTTCGCAGAATTTTTGTGCTAAAAACATAAGGTTCTATGCTGCACTTTATGCAACTGTAAGACATAAAAATATGTGCAAACATATTTTTTAAGAGACATAATTTTACATTTTAAATTATTATAATTGCATATATTATTTAATACCTAATCATAACTTGGACAGTAGATCATAGTGTGTAAATATTTTTGTTGAAAAATGTCACTAGTTATAAGCTGCTTGGCTTTTTCTGACAGCCTTTGAGAGAATGAACACTTGGTTTTATCAGAAAACAGTTCTCTCCACATCAGCAGAGTTTTTATAGGGATACCTAAATATTTGACTGTCAAATTGAAAGAATAGGAAATTTCTTAGCAGTAGCTTTCTTTTTCCGAACTTTACAATTGAAGTGGATTCATTTATGTTGTGGACACATTTCAAGTAGTGAAAAATTCCAGCCCATAGTAATGAGATGGAAAGATTAGTTGTAAAAGAAATTACTGAATTTGAAAAGTTCTTATTAGCATGAATGCTTGCATTTGGTCAAAGTGACTGCAGTGTTGAAGCATGCTCGACAATAAATTTCATATATTCTAGAAGGAACTCGCTATCAAGCATCTCTCTTAATTGTTTCAACTTGGTTATTACAGCAAGTTCCATAGTTGTTACAGTAAGATAGTTTTCTATAGAACACTCCTAATTTCAAATTGACTAGCTGGTAACTGACACAAACCATGTATTCCACCAAGTTACTATATGTTCTGGAAGAAGGGTTACCATCATGTATGTTATAAACTTTTCGAATGGTAAAATGAGCTTACCAAAGAATTGCTACTAAAGCAGCAATATGTGCATTACTGTTGTGAATGCAGTTTGGAAAATTTTTTAGAGCTTTAAATGTAATGTATATTTATATGTATAGTACATACATTATCCAAGATCTATCCTGATACTTGATATGGTTTGATTCCATAATCATGCAGATGTTTATACAAATATAAACATCTGTAATCCTGATATTTATTTATATTGTTGTGCCGGCTTCGAATAAAGATGATTGTAATCTGGTGCAGGGGCGGAACAAAAAGATTTGAAAAAAGAACATTCTAGAAGAATCGAAGAAAAAAAGACATTTGAGATGTTTTTTATTCCAACAAGATATATAATGTTCGGTGAGGTCTCTGAGGTGACTGGAATGTCCTAGAAAACCCATCCATGGGTGTGCATACTTCTGACTTTTTTGACCTTTCGAGAAATTTCGGGAGATAGGGGAAGTTCTGATCTATCTTCAGTACGGACAAGTAATGGAGGCGACTTTGAAGTAAATAGTGTAAGTGAGAAGTAATTAGAGTGCCTATTAGACTGAATTTGTTAGTGTATTTAAATAAAGCGTCAGTTCAGTGAACTGTATTCTGAATTTATATCCCAAGCCCCACAGCTTGTAACAATATTAAAGCCTAATTGCCAGTAAGCAGCAATTGCAAGTTCAAGTCCCTCTCCAGACCAATTATTGTCTTTTGGAATCATCTAAATTAATTATTAAATTTAATAAGAGGTGATGCCTGACTCTAGGTCAAATTACTTAGCATTTAATTGAGCTATATTACTACTGCTATTAACAATCTAATTTGGCAATTGTTTGACTTTAATGCAGATTTTACTATAGAGAATTGCACCTAAATGCAAAATTTCCAGCAAAGAAACATTTAACTTTATTCTTCAAATGTTTTTGGCCACTGTTTTATTCATCCTCTTTAGGAAATGTAAAACGGAAAAACCATTCTATAAATAAAATGTAGCTGCCTTCTAATACTGGCCGAAAACATTCGAACATTGAAGTTAAGCATTTCTTTGCTGGAAATTTTGCATTTAGGTGTTATTCTCTACTCTACATGTACAGTTCCAGTTTTCTGGTAAAGTTGTTGTTTATTGATTTTTACTATTTATTGTGAAGCTGCTGTGGCATTTTGTTTTTAAATATTCACTAGTTATCAGGTATAATTGTAAATAGTCATTACTACATTTATAGTAGCACAAGAAAATGTGTAACACACACTAATTTTGTAAGTCACTATTGTCATTTGTAATAACTCACAAAATTAGCCTCTGTTACAATCTTCTTTAGTCCATGTTTTTGAATTTCATCTAAAACTGGCAGATAATATTGTTTCAGCTTGTTTTCCAATATCAGTGCTTTGTTAATTCCTGTAATTTAGGAGTTTGTTTTCCCAAAGGAACATTAGCTGATGGAAAGGCACTTACTAGTTCCAAGTGAATTGGCTTTTGTGAATTTACAGTTCTTTACCATATTTGAATGTAAATTGTAAATTTTAAAAGTTTTTTTTTAAGAAGCCTGGTTGTCATTTTCTCTATCTACATGTTTCTCATACTTCAAATGTTTTTTAATGTGTCTTTCCTGATGTGATTAGTTAATAACAATATTGCAGAGAATACAGAAACAGGTGTCTGTTATTAGTGTGGAAAGTTTCCTTTAAAAATTCTTTTACTTTATCCTCAGAAGTAATATTTTTTGTGCTTTTTTAGACATTGTATGATAAAGGCACTAACTAAAACTGATATTAACTACTGATACTGTCCATCCACTACTTAAACCTTTAAACTTTGAATTGGTTTATACTAGTTTCATCTCATTTAAACAAAATGATTAAAATCCTCTGGCAATGGCAACAAACAATATAGTTTATTGGAATTGCCAGTTAATTAAATTAATTAAAACCAATGTAACAACTTTTCTTCTTATCAATACAGTACAGAATGAAATGGATTGTCTAGAGCCAAAACAGTAATAATAGGGTTAAACTTTGAATGATATGTAGAATATATCTCCTCCTTTCCTGGTGATGGAAATTTTATTCGGTTTCATATTATATTTTTTAACCACTCAGCGGTGACTGACAGATATATCTATCAGTCACTGCTGAGTGGTCACCAAAAACTACTGAGAAAAAAATTCACATAAAAAAAGGAATTATGTAACAATAAAAAAAGACTTTTTTTACTAGACGTAACTGTTTACAAAATCTTTTTTCAAAATGGTAATGAGAAAAAACGCGTGGAAAAATACTTTAAAAGTTTTCCACATTTATTCTCCACTACATAGGGATAACACCATACCTGACTAACCCACTGCTGAAAGGTTAAGAAGTGTTTAAATGATTTATATTTTTATACTTTTAATCAGATTTGATTAATTGCTTTATGGTGCAGTAGTGTTTCATTGAACATCTATAATGTAAACATACAAAATGTGGATTAGACCTCTTTAAAATTTTACTTATCACAATTTTGATTGTATTTGTATAATTCAGAAAATGCATTACTTGCATAAAATAATAAAATTCAGTAGGAGTTTTGTGATTAGGCTTTTAGTTATAAGATTATAATTTTTTGATTGAGATTATTACTAAAGTATTTTATGCTTTTGTTCTGGCAATGCGATGGTTATCGTACCTGATAAGAATAACATTCACTAGTTATCAGTTTTTTTAGTGTTTTTTTTTTTTTTTTTTTTTTTTTACCCAGTCTTGGCTTTATTCCATGTAACTATGTATATCACATTTCATTGCTTGCAGCAGTGTTTACTCTGTAGCAGCAATTTTAGAGCTAAAATTTTTCTTTGCAAAATTTTTTTCTGCACTCTTTGCATAATGTGTACACAAATTTTGGTATGAATCAATTTATTGATTGGAGCTTCAGAGTCCTCTGAATAGGACAAATTTATGATTATCCTGTATATATATATCTTACCAAGCATAACTACTGTGAGAATCCAGAATATATACTTGCTAGTATTTACACTACTAGTATGTTTGTTTTATTTATTCACGAACATAAGTGAATTTGTTAGACCTAAAATATATTTTGTATTCATTATATAATTGTATAGTTATATTATTTAATAGATAGTATTAATTTCAGTTTTTTGTTAAATAATATAATTTGTGTTTATAATTAATATGTAAAGTTTTGAAATATCCTTAGTGTATTTAACAGATTTTAAAGGATATCAGAAAAATAATAATTTTAAAAAAATACATTTGCTTCTTGATGAATAATTGATTTGATGTAATTCATATTTTTTACAGAGCAAAGTATGCTATTAATGCCATAAAGAAAAAATTATATGCACAAAATCCACACGTTGCTTTATTTGCTCTGCAGGTAAGTTTGAACTTTGAATTTTTAACTTCAGTTAAATAATTATTCTTAGTTTTAAACTAAGAATAATTATTAAACAAATGGCATTTAATTTGTAAACTTAATAAATGAATTGTATGTCACTCTCTGTTGAAATTTGGACTCAATATGATGATTAATGATGAAGTATGATTTGAACATTTTGAAAATAGCATTATACAAATTATATAACTTATTTTACTTCATAAATTTTTCGAATATTAAATTAATTTCCTAATCAAAGCTTAACTTTGATTAGGAAATTAATTCCTATAATAATTGAATTAATTTCCTAATGAAATTTTTCTTAACTTTAAAAATTTCATTATTATTATTCTAGTATTTATTGCAATTTATATTGTATTATATTCTTTTTACATTATAATTTATTGATTAGTTAATTTTCTATTTGGATATGTCTATATGTTTTTAATACAAGTACCCTTTGTTTCATATTTAAGTCATTTTTTGTTTGAAGATGATCTAAGAGATTTCAAAACTTCAATGTTCAAATAAATAAATTTGACAATTTAGAAAAACCTGCAGTTTTTAAGAATTTGAGTCAAGGATTTAGAAAATGCCGATTTTTGAAAAAATAAATTTATTATACAGAAAATATTCTAAAGCTAGTAGTTGCATGATATGAGATGTTAATTGAGCAACCATTAATATCTTACTTGTGCTGTTCAGTTGGCTAGTTAGAATACAGAAAGCTGAAAATTTTTTACCATAAACATATGAGAACAAATTATTTTACTACTAAGTTATTGATATTATATGCCTTTAGTGCTTGAATGCATAACATTTTTGAAATCTTGAATTTTTTCCCTACTTGTTCAGAAAAGTCATTTTTAGTCCTATCTTCATATTTTACACAAACGAATCTAGAATGGGTCTTAAATGTGGCCATTATCACCACATTTAGCCACCAATGAAATATTATGTGGCCAACATGAAACCAATGTTTTAAGTTTTCACTCACTGAGTATCATTGAAATAACCACTATTTTAGACAATTTTCAGCTGAAATTCATCTTGGATAATAAAATCCTAAATATGAAGGTGTGTGGATGTTATTGCTAGAAATATTAATTAAATTTTCACAAAGATGCAGCCACAAATCATTTTTCCATAGTTGAATATGTAATCACAATAATATTTTCTGGAATCCTTAGTCTACAAGTTGATACTTTTGAGAATTCATATTTTGTTCTTCCTACTTGTCATTTTCCAAATTCATTATGAGAAATTCATAATAGAGGTGTAAAAGGTAACTTATTTTTATTTTATGTTGTAGGTTTTAGAATCATGTGTCAAAAACTGTGGATCACCTGTTCATCAAGAAGTATCTACAAGAGCTTTTATGGAAGAATTGAGAGAGTTAGCTAAGGTATGAAATAATAGAAACTATTTTATTTTTTATGTATAAAAATGAGAGACAATGATCATGAAATTAATCTTATGATCAAATAATAATGATATTTATCTAAAATGGCATAATTTACTGATTTGCATAGGAATTTAACTAATAATAGCAGGTTGTCTATCATCACTATTGCAAGCATGTTATTCTGTATTCTTTGCTTTTTACAAGTCTCATATCTGATATTTTCTGATCTAGTGGGCAGCTATAGTTCAATTTTAGGTGGAATTTTCTAAAATGTTGTTACTTAATGGACTTTCTATGTATCCCCCCTATTATTCATGTAGCAGATTGCCACTTGGATTTTTTTCTCTTTGGGTTCTAGTGTTATGCACTGGAATGATGCTGAAGTTTCCAGCAACCCTTTTGAACAACTGTCCTTATTCTGCTTATGACAAAATATGAAACGGCAAGCATTATCTAATGCCTTATTGAAGTTTACATTTTCATTTATTAGGCCATACCTATATCTTCTTTTTGCTTCATTTGAATACAGAACCTCAACTCTATCTACTTTACTGTATTGGAAAGGAGTAGAAGGCCCAACCTTACCACATAGCCTTTGAAAAGGAAAGATGAAGAGTTTTAGAGGAAATGAGGAGGAGGAAGAAAAGGCTAATAGGAAAGTGTGAAACATGAGATCTCAGTGTGCCCAGCTGGTTCCATTAATTGAAATTAACAAATATACAAAACATGGGGCATAGCCCATAAGCAAATAGTGAATATAAAGGAATTACAGAAAGGTGTGGATGCCCAAGGGGCTCAACTCTATCTACTTCTTTTTTAGAGAATGATAAGAGATTTTTGTGATCAATTTTTCTGTGAATACAAGAATATATACTCTGTATATTTTTTACTCTTCATGCTGCATATTGTACTGCAAGTTCTATTTTTTTAATGTGATGCTCTTCATCCTCAAACCAACAAATCACTTGCTCAGCAAAGTTTTTCTCTTTTATTGGTATGATAAGAAAGTGATTTAATTTGCTGGTTTGTTAGCCAGAAAGTGAACTATCTCCCTTTATATTACTCTAATATACTAGACAGGATCAAGGAAATTAATATGATGGATTAAAACTTAAACTAGAACAAAAAGTTATGAAAGAAGATAGTCCATTATACATTACAGCTAACTTGAACAACCTGTACAGATATAAACTGTCTGCTTTTCCTGCACTTATTAGAAGAGCATATTCATATCGTTCTAATGTACTAGACAGGATCAAGGAAATTAATAGAATCAAAGAAACAGCTTCAAACTTGATATAAAAAGAGTTCAATAGAAGGACTAATTAGAAGATATGAAGGAGGCCAAAAAAGAACCCAAACAAATCAATGTAAAATTGTGAAGTTCACTTATAATAAAAACATCAAGAACATCATGAAACAAGTGGTGGACAAAAACACTCCAAAATAGTTTTCAGAAGGGCTCCTAATTTATTAGTGTTCTGAGAAATGATAAAGACATGCTTAAAAAAGAAGAAAAAGCAGGTGTATATAAAATTCCATTTGAAAATCAGCAATTAGGAATTAAGAAAGATTATATTGGGGTCACAAGAAGGAATTTAGCTATTAAGGAGCATAAATATAACATTAATAAAAGGGCACTGCAACACAGTTTTGTCCGGTATGGTGCAAGTAGAGGACTCTGTAGTTAAATGGAATGAAGGAACTATCACTGGACCATGATAGATGGGGAAAACTATTTCCCATCGTTAACAATGGTTGAAGAAAAAAATTGAAGTATATAAAATAAATTAAAGGATGGTTGTATTAATGCCAGGGATGCAGATGGACTAGCTTCTGCATGGAAATTCTACATAAAAGAAAAATTAAAATAGAAAAATTCTTAGTCTGCACCTGCCCTTATATCAATACTTGGATGCATTTTTGTGTATTTTATTTTTATTTTATTATATNGGACCATGATAGATGGGGAAAACTATTTCCCATCGTTAACAATGGTTGAAGAAAAAAATTGAAGTATATAAAATAAATTAAAGGATGGTTGTATTAATGCCAGGGATGCAGATGGACTAGCTTCTGCATGGAAATTCTACATAAAAGAAAAATTAAAATATAAAAATTCTTAGTCTGCACCTGCCCTTATACTTGGATGCATTTTTGTGTATTTTTTTATTATATATATTGTTGTTATTTTAGTTTATTTAATATAGTTGGTTTTTTTATTTTATTATTTATTTGTTAATTTATCTATATTTTCGTTTTAAATTTAAAATGTTAAACTGTTTGGACATTTTATCATTAAAATGTTAAATTTTTAAAAAGGTGTTTCTATTCAGTTACACCTGAAGATGGCCTATTGTATTAGGCTGAAACATTTGTTTTGTTTAATAAACATTTCTCAGCAACAGAAAGTGTATTTGATAGTTTGGTGTAACAATAGTGAATACTTAATGAAGAATTACTGTCTACAATGTACTAATTCAAGGTTATTGTCTGTCTTTGTGGTTTGATTATTTAAATAAAAATAGAATCATTTTTTGAAAATAATTTTTGGTAAACATAAATACAGGTGAAAATTACTTATTTTTTTTCAACACAAATATGTAATAGAGCATCGTTTGTCTGAAAACTGGTTATCCGAAACGTCGGTTAACCGAAAGCATTCCAGTCGGCAAATTTAAATTTTCATTAGTGCTGTGGCGCTGCACTCTTTGGCTATATCTTGGGCTACTGCAATATTTTTTTTTGTGTGTGTGTTTTAGCTGGCAGCACTGGCACTTTTGTGTGGTGTTTTTCTGAGAACTGTGTGTCGTGCTGAATTGAACGTTTTTGATACTAGATCAACTTATAAAGTATATTGAAAATTATAAAAACAAAAAAATTATACTTTATAAGTTGATTTTTCTCCATTGTGTGTCGCTTCACGTTGAATTTTCGTCAATGTTAAGCCTAACGTACACTTTTTAAAATAATAATCGTGGCTATTGTATCATTAAAAATTATTTCTTTATCTTTTACAAACAAAATAAATATATTGAAAATTATAAAAACAAAAAAATTATATTTATTTTGTTTGTAAAAGATAAAGAAATAATTTTTAATGATACAATATCCACGATTATTATTATTTTAAAAAGTGTACGTTAGGCTTAACATTGACGAAAATTCAACGTGAAGCGACACACAATGGAGAAAAATTTCAACATGGGATATGTTAATATATTTTTTCATACATAATTGGTTATCCGAAAAATAAGTTATTCAAACAACTTCAGTCCTCAATTGATTCGAATAAACGATGCTCTACTGTATAATACTTAGGAATGTAATAATAAAAACACCTTTCTCACTTTTTCTAGCAAGTTTTAATAAAGTAAAGTAATGTTTTTGGCTATTTTGAATAGCCTGCCTCAGGTTTAACATAATTTTGAACGTCAATTAGGACAAAAAATTTAAAATTTTTTGTCCTAATTGACGATAAAATTTAGTTCAGCTATTTTGAACAGCTGAAAACGTTAGTTCATTTTATTAAAACTTGCTATAAAGAGTGAGAAAGATGTTATTATCTAGAAGCTTATAGTGCATAGAACTTAGGAATGTTTTCATTGAAATAATTTTTATAAAATTCACTAAATGAAACACCTTGAGTTTTTCAATTATAATGCATATGTAACATCATTTATTTTTAAACACAAATAATATACAAAAATATTTTAATGGAGAGTATTAAGTCATTATAGTTCACTTATGTGTTTTCACTTTTGATATATTTTTCTATGTAACAAATTTGTTTTTCAGAAGCTATTTGTTATATGGAAGTTTGACTGTAGTTTGAAATAATTGTTTATATATTGTATTATATTAACATTAGTAATAGTATAACTTTTTGAAATTAACATAATTATTAAAATTACATTTACTCATAGTAAACTTTTACTAATTTATTAAAATAAAATAATTGTGAGATTTTAAAAATATTTAATGCTTTTTTTTTAAATTTTTGAAATAGATTACTCCAAATGACGATATAAAGAATAAAATTTTAGAATTAATACAAACTTGGGCTCATGCTTTTCGTAACGAACCAAATTATCGTGCTGTTCAAGATACAGTTTCATTAATGAATATGGAAGGTAAATTCATAATTTAATTTTTGTAATGATAAATAATAGTTATTTACATTTTATTATTTTACAGTGATGATCATCATCATAGCTAAATACAGTAAAACTTTCCTAACTCAAACATCTATAACTTGAATATTTCTTTAACTCAAAGTTAATGGAGCACTTGGTAGATTTCAATAGAATAGCGTAGGGATTTAACGTCTCCAACTTGAATTTCTTGAGTATTCCCCTAGTTAAAGTTTTTCATGGTCCTGGATACCACTTTGTTACTTTCAATTTCCCTGACTTGAATTTTAATGTTTATTCTATCCAAAGTGATCCTAATTATTGGATTTCCATGCAATTTTTCAGACGGTTGGTTGTATTTACTCTCCAACACCAATTTTCAGACAACAGTTTTGCAGATACTTCTCAACAAGATGTATTTGCAAAACTGTTCAATATCATTTTGAACATTTTGCTGAAAGGCATTACAAGGGCTGTTTAAAACAAAAAACACTATCAAAGCTTCTTCATATAATGCAAGAGAGGTAAGAATACAAATCTATTCAGAATGGGCATTTTTTACTCTATTATTCTCTAATTTGAATCATCTGTAACTCAAAGTTTTTTCCTGCTGTTGTAGCTTTGAGTTAGAGAAGTTTTACTATAATTACTTTTAAGTTAAAAGTCAAAAAAATGTTTTCAGTTGCATTTCAAGCTATTGAATACATATAAATTAAATGTAGAACAGAGTTATACAGGGTGAGTCAGAAGGTGTGGGAAACAAGATGGGAGATGTGATAGTATAGTCAAACCTCAGGGTTCAAATCCTTACTTTTTGAACAATTTAGTTTATGAACAAAATTTTGAATGCCATATTTTTCTCAGTTGCCAAACAAGCTGCTCGGCAACAGTCAGCCACAGATTACTGAGAGACGGATGGTCAATTCCCTATACTTCCCGTGTTAAAGAAAGTTGACAACCTGCTCAATAAATGATGAGACTACTGATTCAGAAGTTAGTAGTGCCTAGATTCCCTTGTATTATAAAAATGGACGTGTATGTCCCTATATTTCACTTTTCCGCAAAAACTACACATCGCACGTGAATGGTGTTTGTATGTGGTGGTAGCTCCAAGTCTCCATTCGTGCATAGGGGTGGTTGCGTCTCGATAGCTATAAGGGTGCGGGAGATATGAGGCTGAAAGTGGTTGAAAGTGGCTTTCTATTTCGAATGTTTTGTTCGAATTTGTTCGAATTAAATTCGAACATAAAATTCGAATATTGGTTCGATTATAGAACGATTGTAAACGTTCCAGAAACGTTGAAAATAGTTCGTTTGACTAAACGTAAAAATTCTCTAATTAGTCTGGAAACGGGGGACCTAATTCTTGCATTCTGTGAAAACGGGTAAGATTGGCTATAATGTAATTATCTTAATCTTCACTATCGTTACTTTTTGCCCAGTAAAGTGGGTCCTTGCAGCTAGATTCTAGATTACTTAGAAAAACAGTCTTTTATATATATAAAACTATATTACATACAAATAAAAACCCAGCGAAGCGGGTCCATGCAGCTAGTTAATTAATAAAAACCATGTTAATTAACAGTTGCATAATTAAACATGGATTTGTGGATGTCATTTATAAGTTAAATAACAAAAGTTTATTATTATGATATAATACATATTATAATATTTCATATTTATTAATACTAGGTAGCTAGTTAATTAAAACTAAAAATAATGATTAAAATTGTTCTTTACACCAAAACTGAAACTAAAATTAAAAATAAAATCACAATTGATTTAATTTAAATTAAAATTTAAATCAAATCATTTGAAACTTAAAATTTTGGAAAGTGTGGATAAAGTACTGTAAAGTACTATATTATTTTTCAGCCCTCTACAACGATTATCGACACGACTGTGTGCCAGAAATAGCCGTTCCCTAACAGGTACTTTACGCGGATTTGTGTTAGTGTGCCAGGCCTGGACTTTAAGCGTGCACCGAATTAAATAATGACAAAGTTTGTCAATAACAAAATCAAAATTTAATAAAAGTTTAGTAATAAACTATATACAATATTTAGTAAAATCAAATAACAAATTTATTCAATGAAAGTCAATAAGAATCAACCCGACAAAACTCAAATCAATCTATTTTCTAACTTAACTCTATTCCCCTTTGGAATTCGACAAAATTCAAAGACTTAATTTACGTACAATAATTCTTATGAATTAAAGATCCTAATCGTCACCTCAATATACTAGGAACGTATTTCCTCAACTCTCAAGACTTTCTCTATTCGTCGATCCACAAATCTAATAACTTCAAAATCGCCTTGAAACTATTTGATCTTATCGGACACCTCTCTTTCGTTTGCTGCTACGAAGCTCACCTCGTCCGTCTTCACTTGAGGTTCAGTCTTTATACTGTGAAGTGACGTCACAATTCTGAATGCAATCACTCCCCTCATTTACATACTTATTTGCTAACAATAAACTTTTTCTATTTGTCTGGCAGCCTATTTCCCGACAATACGCGCTAACCTTTTACATTATTCTTTTTGACAATTTTCGGGATGTTTTCTTTATTCTTTAAGGTTTAGCGAGTCCCTAAGTTGTGCTTGTGGGGTCTCCCCCCCTTTTCTCGGTGTGGACCTATTTTTCTTCGCTCGGGAGCGCAAGTGTGCGCGAGTTTTTTCTACAGCGCTTTTCTCTCATCGGTGAGTTGGTTTCTCTTCTATTTTTAAGTTTCTAAGGTGAATGGTGAGGGAACCTTCGTCCTAACAAAACATAAGCCCCAAACAAAAATATAATAAAAAGCAAAAAAGTAAAATAAAAATAATGCTCGGACTTGGTTCCTTACAGTACTTGTTGTCAGTCTTGATTGATTTGGTTATATTTCATCCAGATAGAGTTGAGTCTCTACAACACTTTTTTGTAAAATAGTTTTGATTGGTGGTGATGGAACATTTTGCTATGTATATATTTATTTCTCAACATAGTCTCCTTTTAACTCGATACACTTTTCCCAGTGATGTTTAATAGTTTCAATATCTTGTTTATAGTGAGAATTGTTAAGCTTCTCAAAATAGCCATCAACCGCAGACTCCACCTCTTCATTGTTGGCAAATCTTTTACCACTGAGCCATTTTTTTCAAGTTTGGAAAGAGAAAATAATATGAGTGGGCTATATCTGGCAAATAGTGTGAGAGGAAGCAATTCAAACCTTAACTCATTGATTTTGGCCACTACGATAACAGATGTGTGGACTGGTGAGTTGTCTTGATGAAAAAGTGCATTTAGTGAAAAAGTGTGTTGCTCTTTTTCACCAAATGTGGCCATTTTTTCTTGATTTTATCACTCAAGCACTGCAATAAGTTTGCATAATACTTACCATTGATTGTTTTAACTTTTTGAAGATAATCAATGAAAATTATCCCACATGCATCCTAAAAAACTCCATGACCTTGCCAGCAGATGGAACTGTCTTAATCTTCTTCAGAGCCAATTCTTTCCTTTCAGTCCATTGTTTTGACTGTTCTTTTGTCTCAGGTGTGAAGTGATGGACCCATGTTTCATCCATGGTTAAGAATTGATGCAAAAACTCTGCTTTATTACTGCAAAACATTGCCAAACACTCGATTGAAACATCCCCACGACACTGTTTTTGTTCCATTGTGAACAAACACGGCACCCATATTGCACACAGCTTTCTCATTTCCAAATTTTCAGCCAAATGTGATGTACAGCACTTTTTGAAATACCTACCATGTCTACTAGCTCTTGCACTTTGAATCAATGGTCATCCAATGCCATTTTGTGGATTTTCTTCTATCATTTCTGGAGTGGTCACCTCATTTGGTTGACCACTGTGATGGTTGTCTTAGCAACTCGTATGGCCTTGTTTAAACTCTGCCACCCAATATTTTATTGTTGTAAATAAGGGAGCAAACTCCCTCAGAGTATAATATAGCTCAGCTTTGATATTTGTTGGACTGAAACCTTTCAAATCAAAGTATTGTATTAAATAATGATGACCAAATTTTCCATGTTTAGAAATTCACTAAGATCATTTACTATTGATGGTTGTCAAATAATAAACAACATAGTGTCTTCAAACTTCAAACCTAAGCTTCATAAGGTTGGTACTTTTGACCACAGTAATGTTTTCAAACAACTACCGCCATCTTATACATCAGGTCGGGTACTTCTGGGATGACCCTCGTACATTGTTTCCTATAAGAAAATTTGTTTCAGCTTGAGAACAAATTAGTTTTCAAACAACTATTAGGAATGAATTAAGTTCAAAACTCAAGGTGTGACTGTATATGAGTATTGTAAGCAAAAAAAACTTTATATAAACATGGGTATTATTCTCATCAGTTTCAGAGATACAGTTGTTTGAAAGTTGCTCACATAGAGAACAATAATGAATTTATACACTTATGTTCACAACAAAGGTGCAAAAATTGAACTGTAAACCTCAATACTCTTTACAATTGAACTTTACATCACTAACACTACCTATCACTAAGGGTATGTTCATAAAGTCAAATGAGTTAAACGCATTAGTAATGAATCGTTCAAAAAGTAGTAGTCTCGCTCACTGCGCATGCTCTGCGGTGATGACATTTTGAACGAAGCTCGCGAAGGAAAGAGTTAGTTTACTTCATTAAGAAAATGGCGCTTGATGATATCGATGTTTCTTAATCTGCTTGAGGGTTTAAATTGTGAATTAAAAGGTGAAATGGTAGAAATAACTGTCCACCTGAAGCAATATAAGAAAAATATTTTGGATAAGACTGCACTAGCAACATTCATATCTTTGATTTTAGAAACAGCCATTTAGTTACAAACGAATCATTCAAAAAGTCTAACGAAATAATAACAATGACGACGTCATTCTCATTTAACTCGTTCAACTTTACGAATGTACCCTAACAGTGGGTCCAACATCTGCTTAAGGGAGATGCTGAGATATGAATCAAACTTTTTCAAACAGCTTAAAAGTTCTTCCTCAGGCGATACACAGAATAACTGATGGAACACAGAATAAATAGAACACAAAGATTTGAAAATTAGATTGAAACCATGTCTTGTGAAATCACTATGTTGGATATGCGCATTTGTGTGAGTAGCTGGTGTTGGCAATTAAAAATTGGTGTCCATCAAGGCCTGCCAAGCAACTGACAAATTCAACTCTTCCTTGTGACTGATGCATGTGGCAATGAGGCTAGATTTATAAGTTTTTCCACTTGATACATGGTCAACATAAAGTAACTCAAAGATACCACACGTCATCTTTAGACACAAGTTGTAAAGTATATTGAGGTTCACAGATCAAGTTTTGAGCATTTATTATGAACATAGCATGTATGATTTATTATTGTGTATATGAGCAACTTTCAAACAGCTGTATCTCTGAAACAAACGAGAATAATGCCCATGTTCATATGAAGTTTTTTGCTTACAATGTACCATATACTGTCATCTTCCAAATTACTTCCTTTTCCTCCTTATGACTCACCATGTGTGTGTGCGAGACAAAAATTTTTGAATAAGAATGCTGTTTCGAATATAGACTGCTTATGGATTTTGAAACTTGGCACCAGTTTATGATGTATAATATTTGACATAATTATGACTATTTGGAATTTTGAAAGCTAGTTAGCTGTGAATACTAGAAATTAATGAAGAATTGTTATTTCTTTTAAATAAACATATTAAGCATTGAAAAATTCAACAAAAAATTCTGTTATTGTAAGATACATTCCCTTTCATTGTAAGATTTATAATATAAATTTTTTTTTATCTTAATTTATAAAAATTTCAAAATGATAAATTCAAAATTAACTATTTCAGAATTATTCTTATAATTTATAAGTAAAATGTTAAAATACTCTACTTCAGTTTATTTCTCTTACAATCTGAAAAACACTACAAACAAGAAGTTTATAAATTTATTAAGAAGCATTTGTTTAAATTTGTGCTAAAGCTTTTTTTCCTAATTATACATTGCTTTAACTGCATAAACTACCTACTGTTATAATACAGTTCTGCTTCTATAAAAATATTGAAATAAAATATGTATGACAGTTAAATATCTGTTTATTAAAGACCTTGATTATAAAATTATATAATTGTTTTTAATTAAATATTTAAAGATTATTTTTTAACATTAATAGGTTTCAAATTTCCAGTACTGAAGGAAAGTGATGCAATGTTTGCTGCAGATGCAGCACCAAAATGGGCAGATGGTGATTGTTGTCATCGTTGTCGAGTTCAGTTTTCAATGGTACAAAGAAAGGTAAAATTTTTAAATATTTCAGCTTTAAAACAAAGTCATAATTTTTTTTCATAAAAACTAGTGTTCATATTTTTATATTTTGATATATTTAGCTTGAATTTATAGATATCTTTAATAAACACCATAATCTTCCAATTTGTTTAATTTACAATTAGTTTTTATTGATTTATTAGAGAAATTTTAATGTTTATAACAATTTTTTTTATAATATCAGATTTAAAAATTTTTAATTTCATTCCTACATTAGAATTCTTAATGTAGTAAAGTCTCTCTTGTTTATCTGACTGCAGATATTTTTTGTCTTTTGTTCTTATTATGCTGGACTTTTTGAAAGTTGTCTTTGATAGGGAAATATTAGAACTACTTGCATCAAACAATGTTTCTTTTTTAGATATTTTACTTCAGGGATTCATTTGCATCTTAAGTTCACTATACCCTACCATGTATAGAATTGAAAGTGAAGTAAATTTTTTCCTTCCTGTATGCACTGAGGATGCTGAAAGGATTTTACAGATTTTCATTTTATTTTTATTACAGATCATCAAGTAAGCCTCATCAGTGGCTACCTTGATGAGGCTTACTTGTGAAGCAAAATGCATTTGGAGTATATCAATTGTATCAATAAAAAAAAGTAGAATAAAAATGCTGGTAATAATGAAAGTTTAGGTTTTTTTCATCATTTGTTTAACTGTTTAACTTGTATTGTCCCTCGAAGTCGGAAGAAGTCAGAGTATTTTTTTACTTGTTTTAAAACTAGGAAGGTTCTTTATTTTTAGTGTTTATTAATTATACTGATCCGATTGATTTTAATTATTGAAGTAATTTTTTATAAATTTTTAATACCATTAAAATAATGTTAGTAAAATGAATGGTAAAACACTTTTTTTTTATAACTATTTTCTCAAGTACTTGAACTTGTATTTTAAATGCATCTAAACTATTTTGAAATGTTAAAAATTTAATAAAATACAGTAGAGCGTCGATTTTCCGAATCAATTGGGGACTGAGGTTGTCCGTATAACTGATATTTCGGATAACTGATTTACGTACGAAAAAATAGTTTAACGTATCCGATGTCAAACTTTTTCTCTGTTGCGTGTTGCTTTGCGTTGAATTTTCGTCGATGTTACGCCTAACAAAGACTATTGTATTGTTAAAAATTATTTTTCTATTTTGTACAAACAAAATAAATATATTGAAAAATATAAAAATAATAAAAAATTATACTTCAGATGTTAATTTAGTATCAAAAACGTAAAATATTTGAGTAGCCCAAGACATAGCCAAAGATTGAAGCATCACAGCACTGGCGAAAATTTAAATTTGCCGACTGAAATTCTTTCGGATGATTGACTTTCGGAAAATTGACGCTCTACTGTATTTTAATTTCAGGAAAACTTATGATTGTGTGTTTATTATAAAATGAATTTTGCAGTTTGATTTTACTATTTTTTTAATGATTTTATTATGTTCAAGATTATTATAAAAAGAAATATAGTTTTAAATTATTTTTAAGAAAAGGAAAGTTAACAGAATTAATTTTGGTAAAGTAAACTATATATTTAGAGCTTATATGGAGTAATTTCTTTAGCAAGTTGCATAAATAATTATATTTTGTTACATTTTAAAATTATGAATAAATTTCAGCACCATTGTCGAAATTGCGGTCAAATATTCTGTAATAAATGTTCTTCTAGAACTGCTCCAATTCCTCGATACGGTATTGAAAGAGAAGTTAGAATTTGTGAATTATGTTGGGATAAACTAAACAGGTATTTGAATTTATATACTTGTAATTTTAAGAAAAAAATCATTATTTTATCAAGTTAAATATTAGTAGAGAAAGATGGTTATTAAAATTAGGAAATAAATGGAAAATATGGTTTAAATGTAATTTATATGTGAAAATTTTATAATAATCTAGTTCTGATAGTGTTAACAGTTGATGTAAATGTTTAAAATTAACAAAATATTAGCTGTGTACAGTATATGTAGTTGTGTATGTATGAATGATTTTTGGCAGTTTGGGAAATCCATTAAAATGAGATTTTACTGTAGTTTATTATTATTTCAAGGGTTGTTCAAAAAATAATGCACCATAATTTAGATCTGGGAAATGAAGACTGACATGGCTCTGCTTTTGAGAAGTTGTATCTGGAAGCTTTTGCTAATGTTGTGGAAAATTTCAAGTTCCCCTGCCAGGCGGGACTCCAATAGCTTTGCTGAAAAATAGTGAATGTTCCAAACAGCGTGCAGTGATAAAATTTCTCTTTGCTGAAGGGGAACTATTGGAAACATTCACAAATGATTGTGTGGTGTCTGTGGTACTGCAGTTGTCAACCGAAGCACCATCAGTCATTGCCTCATAAAGCAACTCCTTCCCTGTCCCGCCTAATGGCACCACAGAGTTAGAGAGACTGTGCCTTAATCATAAGCTGGTTGGATAGCTGACGCGGTAGACAGAGACAACTTAGCTGGGCCACATGGTACATCTTTTGGGCTCCCATCTGCACTCTGGCCCAGCTCTCTAACTTGACACAACTTTTATATTGTGCAGCTTGTTCTGTACTTAGTCCACAATACTAAACTAATAGCTCACATGGCTCAACAAATAGTATAAGTAATGGCAGCGGGGTCCCCTTCCCTATAAGAAGAGGGGCCCGGCCTAGTGTGTCCACTAGGCTTATAGATTGAATAGATCTATGATTTTTCCCATCAAATCCTTTAGTTTCTTTAAGTTTCCTTTACTAGCTGCTTTTACTAGTATTCTACTTTGCTCTTTTACTAGTATTCGAAGTACTTGTTCAGGGGGCTTGCTCCAGTCAACTTGGTCAGCCCTAGGCAGAAGTCCTTTATGAGGGGACAGTCAAGTATGTAGTGTCTCGCATCTCTGCAAGGATACCCACAGGAGAAGCTACCATCTCCTTGTCCAAACTTGGACTTGAAATGGGGAAACCTCCTGTGTCCAGTCAAAATTTGTGTTGTCAACCAGCAACAACTTGCTGGAGTGAGGCCAACTACAGGCATGAAGGCATAGGTCGGCCTACCTACTGTACTTTGAGTCCAGTGCTCTCACCAGTGTGTCATCGATCATTTCAGTAGAGTACCTTTTATGTATGTAGTTGAGGGTTCAACCATCCTCGTAACAAATGGGCTACTGGTTCCTGCCTTTGCCAGCTGATTGGCACGTTTGTTGCCAGGGTTCCTGGTGTGGCCTCGGATCCATTGCAAGACAACATGTCATTCGTGCCTTGCCCTCAGTACCCTACCTCTGATCTCCTGTACTAGTGGATTGCGATGGTACCAGTCGCTCAAGGCCTGTAGCAACGACTGGCTATCTGAGTATACTGTGACTGGCTTTGGACATGGATGTGATAGGATCGATCCACTGGGACGCCCCCTCCAGGGCCACCAGTTTCACCTTGAATACGGACACTTTCTCGTTCAATCTGACTGATTGAAAGTACACTTCTACTCTGTTAGAGAAGACACAGTATGCGGCTGCTGTCCTTACCTACTAAGCTGCTGTCCTTCAAGCCATCAGTGTATATTTCAACACCGGTATTAGTTGGTTCACCGACATCCCAATCAAGTCCTATCCTATGGGCTGGATGGATCTTTAGTATGTCTGTTTGACGCCTAAGTCTGATCGGGTACTTCAGATTACAATGCGTAGTCTCTATACCTTCCACTGTTGTCCTGTAGAACGCTGCCTCTTGGCTGACTGACACTGAATTAAAGATCAGAAGGCTGTCTTTCGACTTAGCCTGATTCGGAAAGGAAGGAAGGAGGGGTGTAGCAGGTGGGGATAAAAGTCTGAGGAAAGTGGGAAGGAAGGAAGGAAGATTAGAATGGGAATCCCATGGGCATCATGCATCGCGTTTATTAACAGAGATAAAAATAAAAGGGAGTACCGAATGGTGGTCGCTATGGACCAGTGCTTGATGCACTTTACAATTGCTTACAGTGGTTACAGAATGAGAGATAGTGCTGATTGCACCTTACAAGCAAAAAGGTAAGGTGCATGATGCCGGAAAGAATACAGTTTGAAACCAGAATTAGGAATGTAATACAAATTGTGGAATTACATTGAAGAGTGCGGCTTGCACTTAACAGAATTGAAATCCAAGTAAATTTAACAAAACCAACTCGCGGCGGGGATAGGCTGAAAGTACAGGAGGCAATGTGCTTCCAGATGACAAAGGAAAAGATGCCTACAGATGATGAACGACAAAACGATGGCTACAAAGCCGTCGCGGCACGATCAATACAGAGCACTGTGGCATGAGAGGGGAGTGCATGTAAGCACTTTACAGAGACATGGGTAAGTGAACAAAGAAATTAATACAATAAACATGTAGAATATAATACAAATATATAAAAACAAAATATAATATGTGACAAGCGAATAGAAAACACAGAAATATTTACAGAGTTTACATTGGTGCCTTAAGCCGTAGGATGACACTTCTCAAGAGTCAGTTCGTGAGGTCTTCGTCATCTTCATGGTCTGATCGCATGGAGAAGTAGTTGGCGAATGCATTGCATGAGTTGACAAACTTCAGGAAGTGGTCAAAGCTATCCTTATGGGCGCACAAATAGTCTAAGTTCGGCGGCCACAATTGTCCATGGGAGTTGCAGAAGCTTATGAGGTCACTTCTGTAAGGCTCGTAGAGAGGGCAGTCGAAAAGAATGTGGAACGAGTCCCCAACAGAGGAGTTGTTGCAGGTACGTAGCATCGCTTCTTCTCCCGATCCTATGTAGATAGGATGGGATATTCCCATGCCCAGTTAGGCATTGAGTTAGGTAGAATGATGGTGTGATGTACTTATACCTCTGGCGTTTGTGAATAGAAGGCAGAAAGCTAAACGTCGTTCGGCCAGTTGTAGAATTGTTCCACTTGCCTTCCCAGAGGTCGATGCTTCTGTCATGCAGATGGTTGCTTATGTAGCTGGTCGGTATTAGCCCGAAAGACGGGCTTATTAGGAGTTCCGTGGCTCGTTTGGCCAGCTTGTCCGCCTTTTCATTGCCTGGAATGTTGTGGTGTCCAGGCACCCATCTAAAAGAGATGTTTTTCCGTTGGCTTAAGTTCATTGCAAGGTGGTAGACCTTAATGCCAGTGGCGGTCAGCTTCCTGGTGCCCCTGATGACACTGAGTACGTACCGGCTGTCTGTGAAGAAAGTTGTCACCTTTGAAGTTATGACAGTGACTGGTAACAGTGGCGAGTGCCTTGCACATAGCCCACAGCTCCGCTTGGTTGTTGGAGCAGTGGGTGCAAAGCTTGTGGTACTCTTCATGGACGATTTTTTTACTAGAAGTCTGGTAGATAACAAAGGCAGACCCGGTGCCCAGGTCATTCTTAGCGCCGTCGGTGTAGACGTGCCAATCCGCTATGCGATCTTCGGGATTGTAAACGGTGCTGATGATGTCATTAGTGGACCTTGCAGGGTGACAGAGCGTAGCAAAGGTAGTGATATGTTTGTCAATGCCGTGGAGCTTGATTTTGTTGACAGTTTCGGCAGAGGGAAGGTGGTTGTTCGTGACAAGGTTCTGTATTTTATCAGTATCGAGGTCTTGAATATTGTCTTGCAGAAGGTGCCATTTCCAGACTCTGGTTTTAATTTTGATGTTGATAGGAGTCATGTTGGCGATTGTTAGAAGGGCGTCGGTTGGCGCTGTCTGATACGCTCTACAGACACGAATGGCGAAACCTCTTTGGATGGACAGTAGTTTCCTTTTATTATGTATAATGTCAACTCTGTTGCCCCAGATTTCGGCTGTGTAGAGCAGGGCGGGCTCGATTGCCCCATTATAAATTAGCCTGCAGTGCTTGGCAGAAAGGCCCCAGGTGTTCCTAGCGATATGATATAATAAGCTTGCACTTCACGCCGACGTATACTATTATTAGAACACTTACGTGCAGTGGCGTTACAGGAGTGGAATTCCCGATCCGGAAATTTTTCAACTTTTAGAGAGAGGTTTTTCCGCTAGCACTTTCAGTAGTGTAAAACTATCATCATCAGGCGGTACATAGAATTCGATAGTTCAAGCTTTCCGAACGATGTTCCGACGGTTTTTTGAAAAATTCTCAATGTCGAATATTTCGAACGATATTTCCGACGGTTCGGCTGATTATGGTTTTCGAATATTATTTAAAAGGTTCTTACGTCATAGCGTGAAGAAATGATGATAAATAAACATTAACATTAGAAATGTCTGTTAATGAACATAGTTCGTTCAAGTATGCGCACCAACGTAAAATAAGCTTATAAGCAACGAAGGAGTATTTTTATCTTGGGTTGAGTTGTTTGAACGCTGTTATCCAAATTTGTGGGAGCTCGAGAGTTGGGGAGTTGCATGGTATAGTAGTAGAAATAAAGAGTGTCTCCCAAATAAAGAAGTAGAAACAAAGTAGTAGAAATAAAGAGTGTCTCCTCTCGAGCTCCCACAAATTTGGATAACAGCGTTCAAACAACTCAACCCAAGATAAAAATACTCCTTCATTGCTTATAAGCTTATTTTACGTTGGTGCGCATACTTGAACGAACTATGTTCATTAACAGACATTTCTAATGTTAATGTTTATTTATCATCATTTCTTCACGCTATGACGTAAGAACCTTTTAAATAATATTCGAAAACCATAATCAGCCGAACCGTCGGAAATATCGTTCGAAATATTCGACATTGAGAATTTTTCAAAAAACCGTCGGAACATCGTTCGGAAAGCTTGAACTATCGAATTCTATGTACCGCCTGATGATGATAGTT